ACTAACAGACATTAATGAGATCCCCTCTCAGTAATCTCCAGGCTGAACAGACCCAGCTTCCCCAGCTCTTCCTCCCAACAGAGATGCTCTTAATCATTTGTTGCCCTCCAGTGGATCCAAGTCCAGGAGTTCCATCTTGTACTGAGGAGCCCAGAACTGGAGACAGCACTCCACATGTGGCCTCACTAGGACTGAGTAAAGGAGTAGGATCACCTCCCTTGATTTGCTGGCAGTGCTCTTCCTAATGCACCCCAGGATCCCACTGGCCTTCTTGGCCACCAGGGCACACTGCTGGCTCATGGACAGATGGTTGTCCACCAGCGCCCCCAGGTCCTTCTCCTCAGAGCTGCTTTCCAGCAGATCAGCCCCCCACCCTGTACTGATGCAGGGGGTAATCGTAAATTTTGCAGCCAATTTTTTGTTAATTGGTACTGTCATCACTCAATAATCTCTTTTTTCAGTGTGTCCTATATGCCCATAATGCTACCTAAATTGTTGTAATTGTTCCCCTTCCATTTCCAAGCCTTCAGGTCTATAGCTGCCATATTCCAGGGAAGCATAGAATGCAGGAACTCAAAGGAAATGCCAGAAATGCCTGCTGACTGTTTTTTCCAACTATTCCCACAACAACCTACATCCCTTTTTTGTGGCTTCAGCACGTCACACTGTGAGTCTGCAGCCAGCACATGTGTGTGTAAGCAGGTGAATGATTATCTGGAGAGATGAGGCAATGCAATGCGTATCTTGGGAATATTCTATAGGTCTGGAAATGTTTGAGTCACAGCTTTGTGAGCAGCTTTTATTTTTACTCCAGTCACAAGCCTTGTCATGGGTATGACTTCAGGAAAGGGTTGTGGTCAAGAGAATTAGAAGTGCATTCAGGTTTGCTACTAGAAAAAGAAACCAGCAGCAGCCTGTGGTAACTGGGCATTGTAATTAAGCCAGGTGAAAACTAAAACCACATTGAAACTCTCCCATAATTTGAGGTCTTTCAAATCCCAAGCTACATCTAATTTTTGTAGCTTAAGCAGCTACTGCTGTTAGATGCCTTAGCTATCAGTGTTAGCCTGAGGTCACCTTTGAGTCAGGGATGATGTCATGACCAGTATCATACCACATGTTCTTTCCCTGCTGTCCCCAGGACTAATGTATGAGCAAGTCAATAACTACACTGAAGATTACTTTCAAGAGCTCCAAAAATACATAATTTTAAAAAATTAGCTAAGATATTCCACTGCTAAATATAAAATGTACTGCTCCTCATTTGTGGCAAATTCACTTCTATAACATACTAAATGAGATTAAGTCAAAATCATTATCTTGAAAAATGAAGCATTCTTTTAAAACCTATTAAGGTCCCCAGTCTGTTTCAACCTGGAGGAAGCAAGGCATATAAGAGACTGATTTGATCCAAAGCCATCTGACTTCAGAGAGTTTTCCTTATTTTTGGATTAGGTTCTCCCATAAAAAGTGACATAAGTAATGATAATGGATACAGAAGTTGAATTACTGGATCACCCGGCAGCACAAATCTCCTATCAGATGTGAACACCTCTGCATTATGCCAAGTCAGAGTGAAAAATATGTTAGGTATGTTGATTTCTTGCCAGGTACAGGAGAACAAACAATACCACAGCCAAAAGAAAGTGTTATAATACCTTATATAATAACTTCCATATAGCTTATATAATAAGAATTCAAACAGCCTGTGTAAGTCTAGGACATAGCTCCTACGTGCATTTTTTTGAACCAGTATGAACCAGCATAGTGAGTTTGCCCAGCACCTTGCAATTTCTATCTATTAGATAGGGTATGAAACACCCTAAATAATCATGTCAAACCCCAGCTATTTCAAACAAAATTTCAATCTTACAAGCATAGTCATGTAGCTGAAAACAGAAAACACACACATGGTCAGGGGAACCCCTCATGCTCAGAATTAAGTAATTAGCTGAGAAGTTGCACAAAAAGGACATTAATCCATGACTTCCACATTTCAGTTTGGCGATAAACCTGGTAATGTTTAGCTAATACCCCAGAGATCATTCCAGGCAGGAAGGATATCTTTCCACCCCCAGCTGGAAATATTAAACAAGAAGTTTTCTGTGTGGTGGGATCCAAACAGTGCTGCTTTAACCTATTTGTGCAATCTCTGCAGCTGGGGTTCTCAAGAGGTTCATGTACCAGAGGTCCAGAGGCTCTCAGTGGTATCAGAGGCACACTTTGCACCTGAATATATGAAAAGGGCACATCCTAGAAAAGTGTTTCCCTGTTGTTAAAATATGAAGTGCTGTTCATTCCCTTACATGGCTCTTTATAGAAGAAGCCAAATATCAGGAAGCTTGTTTGCATTAGCCTCCACAGGAATCAAGGATCCCTTTGCAAATTATTCACACCAAAAATCATCTATTTGAAAAATGCTATCCTATAACATCATGAAAAAAAACCAATCCGAAGTCCTGGAAATATAACAGCATGCTTAAATAGCACACCTAACAACACAGAAGCATGCCAGGCTGAGGGTGAATATTCTGGAAGTTGTACTTTTGGCTCTATTCAGCCCTAATAATTAAGAGTCTTGCAGAAAGTTTTACTATCTTCCCAAATTTCTTTGAGATCACTACTAAAGGAAATATAGGCGGTGATGTAACCACAGCATGTCTTTCAAAAGATCAGATACTTAATTTTGCTTAAACAGAAAATGCATCCTGAGGAAGAGAGGAGATTTATTTTCATAATAGGGTGGAAAACATAATCATCTGTCTCCAGAGAGGCTATAAACTGTTGGCAGTAAACATTTAACAAATACAATGTAATCTGGTAAGCAGTTTAGTGCTGTGTCTTTACTCTGAAATTGTCTGTATGAATTCAGAGCAGAACTCCATTAACACCTGGCACCTGAGCTATGGCCAGGCAATGCCAAGCTGGAGTGAAGGCATTTTCATACCTGTTACTGCATCCATGCCAAGAGCACACAGAGCTTTCCTGAAATGCTGAAAACTAACTACTGCATAAGGAAAAAAACATTGCCACAAAGAAGTGCCAGAAAGGAGAGGAGAAAGCTGTAGTTATCCATCAGGCCCTGTTTCCCTGCACAAGACGGGGCTCAGCAGCGGCCACGTGCTGGGAGTGCCACAGTGCCCGCAGTCAGCGGTGAAATATTGCAGTACCCTCAGCTGGCCTGTTAGGAGATGAATGGGCTTCAGTCCCTCCCTGGAAGTAAACTATAACAATACATAGTATATTTTAAGTTGGAAAGACTCTCTGTATCCTTTTGTAACTCACCCATATTTAGATTTCCCTTCAAGACATCCTTAAAGTGTGGGAGATGGCCATAAAGCAACCAGATGAAGTGTTTTCCTTTCCTCAGACTGTGTTTAGCATTGGAACGACAAGTTACATTACTGTGGAGTAAGGATTGTGTTTATTTATGCACCAAAACACAGTCAGTATCCAAGAGTATTTGAGTTTCTTTTTCAGGCTTTAAATAACCATTTTCACATCTGTCATTTTTCTGGAACTCAATCAGTAAAATGTCTTTCAGTTTTCATTTTTAAGTTCATGTTCTGTATATAGACCATATATATCTTAACATTTTGTGCTCTGACTATATGATTTTCTATAGACATAAGTCAGTTTTCTTGTGTTTCCTTTTCAAGAGATATCTAAAACTTTCTCAGAAACTATTTTCTAGTCCTTGATATTCTCAGATATGTATGAAATATAAATTTATGCCACTTTCAGTAATCAAGACTATTCTTAGTATACATGATCCAAAGAAGTTTGGACATTACATGAGTAGCCTGATATAAACAATTGCATACAACAAATAAATTAAGTAGAAATATAAAAAAATAACAGTGTCATGTAATGTGATTTAGTTTACACAGAAATCTAAGTGCAAAATGTCATACTTTGGATGCCAAATACTGTTATAATATTGCATAAAATTAAGCCACTTACTCCAAGTAGCTTCTCTATAATCCCGACATCCTGTCTTTCCAATATCAGCACTGGAAAGAACAATATTCTAGGCTATTGGAGTGATCCACTTCATAGCTTAATCAGCCTCTCTCAGCTCTCCTCCTATGTTATGCACAATCCGAGAAGACCCAAGACTCATCTCAGCACCCACTGCCCAAGAAGATTTCAGCCAGCACCAGTTCTCCTGGGTTTGCAGGGTTTGTCATGAGCTCCCAAAACAGCCCTTATCTGATACTTGATGAAGATGAATCCCACAGCCCTCCCCAGGACCCCTGAGCACTGAGATGCTGGGCATCACAAGAGCAGGACCAGGGCTGAGGGCCTCTGCTTCTCTGGGGCTTGAAGGCCTCTGGCTTGCCAGCCACCTTTAGTCGTTCTTAACTGGGACATGCAAGGAAAATAAGCATAACACATCTTATAGTCTTGCTGGCTGACTCCAAGTTATCTATTTATTTTTTCCTAGTTGGCTGTCAAGAAGATCACCATTAAAGATTTTCACATTTTCTCCAGACTTGGGGTCACTGTTTTTGACAAGTTTTATCCCGGCCTTGGGCTACTGACTGTATACTGACTGTAATTCCCCTTTCACCCCATCACAGTATAGTATGTACCAAATACAGCTTTATTGAAGGGGTAAACTACTTGTGATTGATTTAATTAGGACATTAACGTGTCCTTTAATGTCCTGTCTCCCCTACAGTTGGGGCATTAGCCTCAAATCTGTTCTTCTGCCCTCAGGAGCCCAAGAGGGTCCCTGGAGAAACCATGTACATAAACAGGGATGATGTTTACCTCTTGACTTTGGGTGTGACAAAGCAGGGACCTTCAGTGTTGTCACACTGAAGTAGCTACTAATATTTCACCATGTGTTAATACTCTTTGCTGAATAGGAATGGAGTTCAGCTTGTACTTCATTCCCAACACAACAGAGACTTTCAAACATGGGCTAATCATGTGTTTTGCTGAATTTTCAGCCTCCAGCAAAACTACCAAAGAACATAGGCGAGCCCACCATCTGAGAAGCCTTCCTTCTTCCTCCTTCCAGGGTGCATTACCTCTGTTTACTTGTATTTGCAAATGGTAAAAAAAATAAATTGCACTGTGTGTTCTTTAGTTGAACCATTCTTCCCTGGGAAAGGCTGGTTAGTCCATAGCACACCAAGTAATACTGGAAGGCAGAAATGACAAGAAAGAACAAAGACACATTCATTTAGCACAAAATAAATATGTTGAGAAAGGAATTACTCAAGGCTTGAAAGAATATAAACCCACATTTTTAATTATTTATGTAACAGTGACAGCAGCCTGAATAATCAACAAGAGGAAGTAATTGCTTTAAATTAGCATAAACTACATGCTCAATTTTACTAATAAAAGAGAGTGGGAACATTTATATTACTAGATTTTTAATAATAAATCTTATATCTAAAAATGAGTGAAAGACAAAAATCAAAAATTCATGTTAACTGGGAAAACAATTTAAATATTAGGTATTAGGTAGGTTCGATAAGGGAAAAAAAATCACAGAATTATCAGAGGGAAAGAGTTGTTATTTTCAGCTCGTTGAAGAGAATTCACTGGAGGTGGGGTAGATCAGGCTGTGGTAGTTTCTCTACCTTAGATATCTAAATCCTCCTCTACCCATATCTGAGGAACTGCTGTGACCAGCTGCTGGACTAGGCTAGATTGACAGTTTTACCTCTTGATATCTTTCAGACTCTGTGAATAAATCTTGCCTGGACCATGGGCAGGTCCAGGTCCTGCCTCCTGGAGGAAGGAGCCAGACACTGGCCTGAGCAGTCAGTCTCCATCATTGAGTCTTTTTTCACAGCAATATTTATACACAGTGAAACAATATTAAGGGAAGCCTGAAGAAAGCTCATTGTGAACAACTTTGCGAATTGAATGTTGGGTGGTGTTCTAAGAAATGGGAGAAAATCTCTGGCAATGAGGCTGTGGGGAAAACAAAAGCATTATTTTTCCCTTCTCATTTTCAGATTGGTTTGTGTAGCCTTTCTTATAAATTAATTAGGATGGACTGAGTGGGAAGAAGGGATGGGGAACTTGTATACTTTATTTCTGAACTGGTTTCCAAGCCACTCAGAGCTTGGAAGCAAAGGAAGGACTGAAAGGATGGGATTTCACACCACAAAGACAATTCACAGAGATCAATTTGGTTTCTCAAATTCTTTCCCACACCATCTGCTGCTCACCACTCCTAGTCCTTGACTCGTAAGCCCACCTCTGACCTCTACCTCATGCCAAATATCCTTCATTTTATAATTGTAGACAGGGCTATTGTCTGTCCACAATAATTCGTCTCAGCTTGAGAAGAGATGAAGAAAATATGGGAAGACACATAACTGCTTCCAGAACTACAGTCCTTTCTAGACTTATTTTTCTAAGAGCCATCAGTCAGATCCTCACTCGGAGGATAGCAAAGGCCATTCATGGTTATTTCCCATGAAACCAGGGCTGCCACTCTAAACTAAAGTACTCTTTTGTGAATACATGTCATGTGGGGAAGAGCATGGAGGGCTTCGCTGTTTCAGAGAGAATTTTTTTTTTTGCATGCTCAGAAAAATGACATTCTGTTCCAAAGCCACTGCACACCAAGTTTACAGCTAAAGTCATTCTGGAGCTATCCAAGCAAGGAAGAAAAGGAAATTCAAATCCCAAAATGTTTTAATAATGGAAATTCATGTTCAGGGTCTAAATAACCTAAGAGATGCCTAAAAATCTTTTGTGAATTCTGAAAAGAAAAAATCAATCAAAAGCATAGGGACTAAATAAAGCATTGAAAATATCAAACTACCGGGCAGATTATAAACACGTGAAAATGTTCATTTTAAGCTTTAAAATTGGCCCTATCTCCACCATTATTTCTTTAAAGAAAAGAGTAAAAGTAGGTTAAGTTAAATTACTTTTCCTCATGTGGATTTTTCTTTTTCAGCTCATTTAGAAATAATTCAGAAGTGCTCTTGTCATGTCAAATAAAAAACTGTTAATAATGCTTCAAGGAAATATATCTTCATTATAGCAGGCTTGTTATTTGGGTCTTCCAAAGGTTACCTTGGTGACATTTTACATTGATCTTTCACAAGTATAGTCCATGTCCTGTTGTATTAGAAACAGCTAAACATTTCAAGAATGCTAAATCATATTTCAGTATCACTCTGTACTTTGACTTTTCAAACTGCTTTGGCTGACTTGTTCAGTGTGCAGATAAAGAAGCAAAAGGAGGAACAGAAGGTGTTGACTGAGTGAATTTACAGACTAAAAGACCACATTGTATCTTGTTATCTCAGGTATTTCTTTTTTAAAGTCTCTCCCCTTCTTTATACTTTGGAATAAGGTGACCATGAAAAATAGAACTTAGCAAAAGAATGGGCATATGAAAAGAAAGACTTTACTGTACAAGTACATCAGTTGAAATGATGCAGTATATTTGGCAGCATAAGGACATGGCTTTCTTTGGAAAAGGTAATTTCATAGATCAAGCGGGGAAGGCAGAATTTGCTTACCTGCACTTTACAATAATTCTTTTTTTTTTAATCAACCATCATTTATTTTCATTAATTGCCAGTTTATACGCTTCCACCAACATGAGGAAAAATCTTGAACTCATGCATATTCTCACCCTTCCCTTTCTGAGTCCTACAAAAACCCTTACATCCAAAGACTATTACTAGTAACATGCACTCCAACAAAGCGAATGTGAAGTCAGAGGAGCTGAAGGCTACAAGAGGAGGCCAGAAGCTGTAGCATGGGCAAGTTTCTTTTGTTGAGATTCTTTCTGAGCACTACTAGAAACCTTCAGGGCAGTGCTCTCAGGCGACTTTAAAAAAAAAAAAAGAATGGGAATGAAAAAAAGGCTTAGGTGAAAAAGCAGATGCAAATTTTGTCACAGATCTTCCATGCCAAGTAGAAATAGGAGCCCGTTTTGTTATGGAACAAAGTGTCAGTTCATCTCTTCCCACCCTACAAAAACAGAAAATTGGTGAGAAAAACACTTCAGAAAAACCAAATGGTTTGTGTGGGATTACAAGTGATACAATGAAAGAGGGGAAAAGTAAAAAATGTTGAAATAGAAAATGGGGGTGGTAAAAAGCAGGACTGCTGGGGTTACAGATGTCACATTAAAGAGGAAAACGAGAGCTATTTGTGCATCCTAAGGCCCCCTCCAAAAATAGAATTTCACCTCATCCTGTGCAACTGCCTGCACTCGAGGACTGCTCTGCAAACCACCTCAAGGGACTGCCTGGAACTTCTAGGGGCTCTAGAGCAACACAAGCATCAATGCCCAGGGAGTGGCTTTACAGAAAAGAAGAAAGCAAAAAACACTTCCGTGATATGGGACTGCAGAATGGAAAGGGCTGACTTCTAAGGCTGTGCTCCTGAGAGCCTGGGTGACCCAGGCTGACAGCTGGGGGATGCATGCTGCTGCACAGCCTGGCCGTGCTCCACAAATCCAGAAAGCAGCTTCTTCTGCCCTCAGTCTCGGGGCACTGGGGTGCCTTCTGCTCTCTCTGGCACTGGCTGCATCTGGTGAGCCACACAACACCCACCTAACCCTCCCACAGTGGCCCCAGCTGCTCTCTCCTGACTTGAGCTGCACATGCCCTCTCACACACCATGCCTTGTTCAGCACTTCCCTGGTCACCAAGCCACGAGGTCTGTATCTTTTTCTTCCTTTCCAAGCTCCTGACTTTGGGGCAGCAGCTTGTTCTGTTATTTATGATGTCCCAGTGCGAAGGCCAGGAATGAGGGAGGTTGCATTCCAAGAGAGCCACTTCTTTCCCATGAAAAGTATGCACAATCCTAACACCCAGAGTATGTTTTCTACTACAGACAAATAATTTCCATGATATGTGGTATGGATAAATACCTTATTTCTACCTCTTCTCCTACAACTTTTGCCCTCCAGAGCAACATAAAATAATGACAAACCCTAAAGGAAAACAGCAAAATTTTGTCTATTTTCCTTGTATTCATTCTATGAAGATGAGAATGAGCATTTATAAAGCCTCGTGGTTATGATTACTTTATCCTTTTTTTTCCCCTTCAAGTACTTCTGCAGCTTCATTGACTCCATTCTGCTACTGTGGTGAATCCTCTCTCACAGTGTGTTCAGTATGTTTTCTGCTAAAAGTCTTGGGCCACCAATAACCTGAAGATAAAACTGGAAATACAGCTGAAGGCCTGAAGATTGTACAGCCTGCTGCTGGATGCCAGCACCATTTCACACTGCATGATTCCTTCACAGTCAAATTAAACCAGAAAGGTAGAAAAGTTTTACCTTTAGCTCTCTGCTAGATTGAAGTTTTATTGTTATTTCATAAAACAGGAACCTAGGCAAAAATACTGAAGTCAAATGTAATGTGTATTTGTAATAACTCTACCTGGAGTTATTAAAATCTTGATTAGTTCCTAAGAATATTTGTCACTATATGTTGTTTGTACTTCAGCCCAAGCTTCTACTCAACTTTGCCCTAGCTAAATTTGTTCAACTTATATTCCAACAAGGCTCCTTATTGCACACACAGCTGTGCGAAGGACAGCTGGTGGTGCAGGGGGAAAACAGCCAGCAGCAGAAACTTCTTAAGCTTCTTCAAGGAATCCTGGCCTGAGACCTTCTAAAATAAAACAAATCTCTACCAGCCACATGCAGTATAATGTGGGGTGGTTTTTCTTGCCCAAAGGATTCTAAAGCTATGACCGCAGCACTAGAAAAAACAGGGCCTGGAAATGAGCTTAAGTACTGGACTGCTAATTGCCCATTATACTTAACTGCAAACATGTGTCCTGGAAAAGGTTTGGCTCAAGTCAGCTCACACTGTCCCAGACGGAATCCAGACCAGGAGATGGTGAGTGTGCAGCCCATTCCAGCAGGCAGCATGCACCAGGCAAACACCAGCAGCCTCCCCTTTTCCCTCTTCCTGTGCTCAGCATCACCTTTTTTCATTGCCTTCAGACTCTCCAGAGCAAAGGATACATGTTCTCAGATTCATAATATAAAAATGTCACTCCACTAACTATTTTTTTTTTCAGAAAAAGAAAAGTCCAATTAAAAAGCACAAGCATGTTAACATAGGTCCGTGGAAAGGAAGCAATTGGTTTGTAAAATGGACCTGGTCAGGTCTTGGTACTTGGCCAAAAAGCCAAGTGCCTTCACTTGTTTTATTTGGTGTTATAAACATAGTCCAGCTGCAAGAATCTGGCCTTACCTTCACAGGGATGGCAGAAGGCACCTGTGACACTAAGGTCACCATCATTTGGACAATACTGTCAGGCACATGGTGGATGGAACTGTGAAGGTCCAGGAGCTGCATTCAGTGATCCTTGTGGGTCCCTTCCAGCTCAGCATGTTCTGTGATTTTGTGATCCTACTGAAGCCCTTGAGAACATTAAAACCATGAATTTTTTTTTCCTTGTGCAGAACAAATGTTAGTTTTGATCCTAGAAACAGCAATTGCTTTGGCTGAAACCTCTCTGTTTAAACAGACACCTAAATAAGAGCATCACGAGGAATGTCCTTCATTGGTAACAATAATCTCACCATCCGTAGCCCTTTTTTATCCTTGAGATATCTGTAGCTTTACAGTAAATTAGGGTGGTTTTTTCCATCTGATTTTATTTTTAAGATCTCAGAATTTAATTATGTTGAAACAGGAAGCATGCTTTTTTTAAGTGATGTCAGAATTTCTTTCTTGAGCTGTTTCATGGGAAGAATCTTTACTTCTTTTCTCTGTTTACCCTGAAGGTTCATGAAGCCAATGTAAACAGCAAAATGAGTGTAAACACCAGGGATTAACTTTAGAAGATTTGAAAGCAGCAGGTTTTGCCTTAATAAAATTAAGCAGATAGTTTAGTATTTCTATATATCTCTGTATATAGTTTAGAAGTTCTAAAGAAGTATGTTCCCCTTATTAAACATTCATCATGTGAGCTTTTTGAGGATTTCCTCAAAGAATCAAGGATAGCATTATGTTGGTGTTAAGCTAATTTTTTATTAACTTCAGGGAGAGGACAATTCGGTTACTCCATTAAATGTGCAGACACTCACTGTATTCTCTGTACTGCAATACAAAAAGATTTTTAGACAATACAATACTCTTAAAAGCTTGTTATGTCTTATTTGTGAGCTGTGTTTTGACTCTAACTGCCTTCTCTTCCTGCTTATTGTGGCTGTCCTCTGCTTCCTCTGAGTGTCCTGTAATATTACTGGGGAAATTTCCATGATCCTACAACTCCTGGTCATAATTACTTTTAAAAAACAAGGAGGCAAAAAAGAAGAATGTCACTCTGCAAAAAAGAAAAGTTATCTATTATCTTGCCCTAATCAATGCCAGAACAAATAATTTTGCTTTCTAACAAGCAAAACAGAGTTGAGAATATGCAGATGATGGCTGTTGAATAAAAGTTTAGGAAGAAAGTTACACAGTTTTAAGAGATTCCAATGTGGCCAATGTGATGAGAGCCTCATAAAGCCAAAATACTCTCAGAATGCTTAAAAGTGTCTGCTTGTTCGTTTCCAGGCTGAACAAAACCAAGGAGGGATTTTAAAGAACTCGGTGCAGGTCTAAAAGAATTATTGATTGCTTAGGTATAACTGAAGTCTCACCGGGATTTACAAGAAGCAGTGACAGTGTCGGTGCTGGAGTTCATGGAAGATCCCTTGTCTCTGCTGCCCTCGGCTGCCGTGTCTTCCCTTCAGCACCGCGCCAATCCAGGTTAGCCAGGTAGATACACGCCTGGCACCCGAGCAGCGATCCCAGGAGAAACAATGAAAAGCAGGGTTGATTCAAACAACAGCCACTAACAGTATGCATCTTGCATCTTCCCAGACTAACTGGGTGTGTCTTTAGGCTGCTGCCACCTTTGTGTTTGCCCGCGGACGTGCAGCGAGAAGCCCGGCACCAGCAGACGTGCGGGTAAAACTGAGGTTGCACACAGGGAAGCGGGGCAGTGAAGGCTCCGCACAGAGCAATGGTGGGCTGGCCGCGGGCACCCCCTTCCCCGGGCAGCCCAAGGCTCGGTGTCCCCAGAGTGCTGCGCAGGAGGGATCGAGGCAGGGCATCCTCCTCTCTGGGGGACCCCGACACCTCCGCCCGCGGGGCCGCAGGACTACAGCTCCCAGCGAGCCTTGCGCCGCCTCCATCTTCCCCGCGCACACACAACGCCTTGCTGAAACAAAACCCGCTCTCGAACAAAACTTCCTCAGAGTGTGCTTTGAGCCTGCAGGGAGGCGCGCAGCTGAAGAGATCCTCGAATTAGCTGAATTAGCTCTCATGATCTCGTTGGGTTCACTTTGGCAAGAGGCCGGAGTCTCCACTCCCGGGGCTGCTGTGTCTCCCAAAGGAGCTGTAAATCTGCTTTTCTTTCCCTGAGGCGATGTAGTGTCCTGGGAATGGCCTCAAAAATATGTGGTGGGCCAGCTCATCTACTGCTTCAGCAACATTCAACAAACCCGGCCGCTGGCCTCTCCCACCACGCAGCCCCCTTCACTGTTCTCAGTGTCTGGGACGATTCTCAAGATGCTGCTTGGCATTTCCCTGCTGCCTGTGGTTTCTCCTTGCTGTCGCCTTGCTGCCTATGAGTGAGGAGCTGTAGTTCAAGCTTTGCTAAATCTCGTATATCTATACCTGGCCTTTTGTTTATGTGCTGTACATGGCAGGAGCAACTCATGACAGGTGCTACATGGGCAGTATGTACATACACACACAAACACCATTTTCCAAGTGGCTATTGCTCTATAGTTTTGATTTTGAGCAGGCATTTGGCAGTCTTCACTATGGAGAACTCAGTATCTTTCAAAAGTCCATATTCTGTATTTTGTCTAGAAGTAGGCATTGCCTGGGTAGCACTATCATGGGTTTTTCATAAACACACCAGCATTTCTCTTCTCCTGTCTCCCTTTGGGTGGATCTTAGTTAAGCACAGCTCACATACAGGATTTTGAAAGCCCTGCTGGAGGAGGAGCCTTGGTAGGAGATCTGGCAAGGCCAGGGATCTGCAGGCAAGGATTATCTACAGCAAGGTGGCTCAGGGAGATAAGGATGGATGTACATGTGCATCTATCCGAGTGTGGGAGCAGGGAGAGAGTAGACAGGGCAACAACAGGATCTCAAATGCTATGGCAGAGAGCTGTATATAAGTATTAGGAGACTCAAGTAAAATGAAATTTGAGTAAAAATATTTGAGGAGTAGATTGGGGGGCAGCCATAAAAGTGGGCTGGGGTGAACTAGGAGAAGTTGAGACAAATAAGAAGCAGAGTCTGCAAGTGGACACCAGTGGGGAGGAAGGAACAGAGGAATCTAGGAGGCAATGTGGAAATACATAAGCGGTTTATGCAGAAGTGGTGTGAGGCTCCTCTTGTGCGGGTACTCTTAACACCAGGTTGGAGGTAGGGACACAAGCACAAGTTGCTGATTCTCTTTCCCTTGTTTTGTTTTGTCGTTGCTGTTTTTCTCCCACTTTTAATGTATGGTAGTCCCTTGAAAGCAGCTTTGTTCTCCAAATGTCCAACACCATTTTCTTAATCTTAAAAAAAAAAAAAAAAGTAACTTAAGTAACACTTCCTGCAATTGACATTGTGTCCATGCACTTTTGGAGCCCGTTTCCTAACTTTAGCGTCAGTGGGCTCTGAACAATTTCAGGAATGCTTCCTTAATTTCTTTCCCTCTATTCCTCTATTCCATCAACTGGCTTCTCTCACCCACCAAGTCTTAGCAGTAGATTTACAGGCTTTTCCTACCATTCCCACTACAAAAATATGTATGTTTTGATTCAAAAGAAACTGAGTCCATCCTATCCCAAGGAACAGTTACCTTCTCAAAATCTTGTCTTCTCTATCACTTTTTACCTTCAGAAACTTTCCGATAAAACACTAGAACTCCATGTTCTTTCCCATGGCATTCCTTACATCTTCCAGCTTTGCTATCAGCCTCAGTGACTGGAAAAAAAGATAATGAGGATTTAAAATCCTCTTCCCCTTAGCACCAAACTTGTGTATGCTCAGTTGCACAGTCTAGAGTCATCCATCTCCTGAACAGCTTCCACAGAAAAACAGCTTCAGAAATGCTAAGTAATCACAAATTAACTGTTTTTTTCACAAGGCTGGCTAAGCCCAGGCCTCCCAGCCCTGTTATAGTCTTGTGTAAATCATAAATCCAGAACTGGCATAAAAACTGCGACAGCCTGAGGGAGCATCTAATAACATCATGTGGGAAACTGCAACGTTCCCCTGGCTGAACCCCATGAGGTCCCTTCCAGGCATCAGTCAGCATAAACTAGCAAGAAAGCTGTGTATTGATTTTGATTATCTGCACTATATGTGTGCTTGTAGAATCAAATCAAACAGCGGATTGAGTTTCTAGTCCAAACACCCTACGTATTTCTGGTTTTATTTTCCCGAAGGAAGGCTGAAAGAACAACGGAGAGCAAAACAAGGTAAACCTTGCGGGAGGTTACAATGTACACAAAGCCATCTTGGGAGTAGGGGCGCTTAAGACAACACTGGAAAGAAGGTGAGGAATGGGAATGTCTGCTGAAGTTTCGGGGAAGCAGGAGCAGAGAGAAGGGCAGCTGTTGTTCTCGGGATGCGCTTAACCCTCGCCCGCAGCCCGCTCGGCTGGCGGGCACAGGCCCAGCGCACAGCCCGGCTCCCATGGCGCCGAGGCACGGCCGGGAGCTGCCGCCTCCTCCGGGGACTCCCCTGGCCCAGGGCAGGCGGCCGCCCCTCCGCCCGGCGGGACGCGTTCCCCGCGCCGCCGCCGCCCCTTCCGCCGCCGCTCCCGCATCCCGCGCCGCGCACCCCGCGTGACCGGCGGGGCGGGCACGGGCGGGCACAGGCGGGCGGCCCGTCCCCGCAGCGCCCGGGGCCGAACGCCGCTCCCCCGCGGAGGGCAGGGAAAGCCGGGCGCTGCATCCCCGCTCCGTCCCGGCCGCCCGCCCCCGCCGCAGGAGCCGGGGGCGGGGCGGGGCCGGGCCGTCCGCGGCGCCTCCCCGCGGGAGCGGGCGGGGCTCCTCTCCTTTGCGCCATGATGAACAAATGACCTCGCGGGGAATGAAATTTAAGTTCCACCGGGGAGAGAGAGTTCTCTGCTTCGAGCCCGACCCCACCAAAGCCAAAGTGCTCTATGATGCCAAGGTGACCGGCCGCGCGCGCTCCTGCCTCCCCCTCCCGCGTCCCCCCGGGCGGGAGGGCGCGGGGCGGGGCCGGCGCGCGGCCCGCCCGCTCCCGTTACGGCTGCTGCTCTCCCGTTACCGCTCCCGCCGGGCGCGCCCCCGGGCGGGAGGCGGCGCGGGAAGCGGCTGTGGGCCCGGCCGGGGAGGCGGCTCCGCCGGCAGCTGCACTTGTTGCGGGAAACGGGCGCCGACCCAGGGAGGGGGGAGCAGGCGGGGAGGCCGCGGGGTGGGGGCCGCCACGGGACGGGGAGACGAAGCGCGGCGGTGCCGTCCCCGCCGGGCCTGGCCTCCCGCCGTTGTTGCTCCCCGCGGGCGGCGCAGGCCGGTGCTCCGCTGGGGCTCAGCTCTCTCCCCGCGGCACGGGAGCCCCGCGGGTGAGGGTGCGTGTGGCAGCTGTTAGCGAGCCTCCGGGCCTTGCCCGCGCCGGGGAGCAGAGGGATGGGGCCTGCCTGTCGCGGCAGGTAGACAGCGAGCGGCTCTGCCAGTGTCAGACGCGCTTCCCGCCTTCCGTGCTCGGCTGAACACCTGCAGAGTAACTCTGGAGTCTTACTGCCACCCCTGCCGTTTGGTAGCGTAGCTGGATTGATTTCCCCTCACGCTTTCCCACGCTTACTGCCCGCCCGTCTGCGTTTCAGAAAGGTATAAGTGGTACCGCTGGTGAAGGAGAATATACGGAAATAAGATAGTAAACAGTGTGCGGTGGGCCACAGGTCTGCAGTAAGAGGTGACAACCTCAGTTAGGGCCTAACCTTAAGAGTAGTGAGAGTAATGAGAGAGCTTTATGTAAATAGTGTTGTTTTGGAGTATCAGTGGTGCACAAAATTATTTTTCAATCCTAAATCATCCGTCTTTAACTTAGAAATTGAGTTCTGGGTTTTTTTTTTGTTACAGCAAGAGATAAAAAAGGAAGTGTTGTAACTGTATTGTTGATGAAATTAGTACTTTTTGCTGCACGTTTGCTAGCTGTGCCTATGTGTGTTTCTCAAATATCTTTGATTAGGAATGCCGCTGTCCTGTAATATTTTGGGCTGCCCTTTTCTTTCTACATTTTCTTCTATACCCAAGCAACCGGGCAGCTGTAGTTGCTGTCCCTGTAAACCTATCAACTGAGTACAAAAATGCATAGTAATTTTTCTTCTTTACTGTCAAGTACCCTAAACAACATAACTGTCTGCGAATCCATCAATAGTTTTTAAATTCTGGACACCCAAATTAAAACATCACTGTAGCCTAACTACTGCTAATGATGTATTGAAAGCCACTCAAGTGCAGGCACCACATCTTTTTCTTCTGAGGTGCAGACCCTTTCAGATTGGTCATTGCACATTTGTGAAAATGGAAGAAAGCAAGGGTTGAGATATTCCCAAAGCCACTTAATGTTTTGTGGCTGCGAGTATGTGGTGCCCAACAGTGCAGTATTTCTGAGGTTTATGTATAGAGAACTGTGTTTCCTGCGTAGGGGGCTTGAGGAGACCGCAGAGGGGAGAAGGTGAAGTAGCCAAATCTGCATATCCATACTGTGCTACTGCACTGTTTGATGTCTCCCTTTGTCTTGAACGTATGAGACCTTTGAGGATAGAGCAAAGATTGTGATCAGTCTGCAATGTTAAGAGTAGCTAACAAGAAAGCTAGGTTCTTTTATCGTATAATCCTTCTGTTCATGTCAATATTAACTGGCAAAATATCAAGCCTTTTCTTTTATTTCTTTCTTTGTACATAAACTTTCTAAATACCCAAAGACTTACTTTCTCTCAAGGTTTTTAATATGTACTATTCAATATTTATTTCAGATTGTTGATATTGTTGTTGGAAAAGATGACAAAGGCAGAAAAATTCCAGAATATCTGATCCATTTTAACGGTTGGAACAGAAGGTAAGAACCTACATGTGTTGTTTCAGTTCTTCCATTTCTTCTGTTTTATTCTGCAAAGACAGGCTTTGCACAGACTATCAAAGGACCAATGTTTGCAGGAGTATTTTTATTTTTGTGAATGCCTTTAATATATGTGCTCATGTTGACATTGGTCTGTATCTACATTTCAGTGAATCAGTTTGATAGACGTGAGTTTAAATCTTATGAAACCTCTGTCTTTGGCATATACTTACGGCACCTAAGTTTCCATTAATAAAGGTTTAGGCTTTGTTAAATCTAGCCCTGGATTTTTTGGTTATCAAGGCCAGTACGTGAGTGCAGTGTCTTGACTGTGATTGATAGTATGTGTCAGTGCTAGAAATACAATTTCAGGTTAAGTCAAGGCTTGAGGAATTTTAGATGGCAATGTGAGAACTGAAGCCATGTGAACAGAGAAGAGTGCAAACCTTGTGATGCAGATGTTGCTTCTGAATGACAGTAAACAAGTCCTTTGTAGATTTAAAGTATGTTAATTCATTGGTAATTGTGAGTGGCATATATTCAAAGTAATTTTTTATTTTCTTTTGACCTGTCCTTAGCTGGGATAGATGGGCAGCTGAAGATCATGTTCTTCGGGATACAGACGAAAACCGCAGATTACAGCGTAAATTGGCACGGAAGGCTGTGGCTCGCATGTAAGAAATCCTTTTGGCCTCCAAATAAATGAGATTCATTTTCAGATTCAGACAAATACATCCAGGTGTCTGCAACTGAGCTTGGTGTCTGAGCACATGCTGTAGGTGGTAGATAGGTACATGATACAGTCAGTGCATTTTAGAGAGCTACTCTAAGCTAGAGACCTGTGGATTGTTATTAACACTCTAAAAGACTAACAACTCAGTAGCTATGTTATTCTTAACTATTGCTGTAAAATGCCTGTGTATTGGATCTGCATCTTCCCAAAGAAATGTACTTGCAAAATACTTTAGGAAAACTTGAAATATTTTGAGCCAAAGGCAATAATCTAATATTGCTTGGCCATGTCTAGAGGATCTTCTTGAGAACATGAATGTGTGGTAATGCACAGACATTAGGGTATCCACTCTCAAATAAGCATTGTCTAAATGTTTTCAGCTTTAATTAATGAAAACAATGCAAACATACGTTTCCTGTGCATTTGCACATAATGGAATTAGTTAGGATAAACGAATGAAATAATTACCCAAATGTCAGTGAACCATTTTATGTTCTGTAGGAGAAGAAAGGGAAGAAAGAAGAGACGCTGCAGGTTGCCTGGTGTTGACTCTGTATTAAAAAGCCTTCCTGCTGAAGAAAATGATGAGAGTAGTGAAAACTGTGAGCTTGTTTTCATCCTTTGGTAACTGGTGGGATGCCTTGACCTGGGGATAAGTGCATGGTGTCACTTGTCATGAGAGTATTATGGTCTTATCTGAAATATACAAAGGCAGTCATATGAAGAGGGAGAACTATGTTTCATACTAACCATCTGTTAAGTTGGAGTATCTGTTTTCTTCTTGTATTGTAGAGGCTTCTCCTTGCATCTCTTCTACTCAACTGTTCTAATCAGCAATTTCAGAGCTTAATGCTGTTTTCCTTAAAACAGCATTAATAGGTGTGAGAAGCCCTCAGTTTTCTTTGTTTGATGTTAGGAAACAGAACATTTCCCTCCTAGTGGTTGTTTGTTTTTGAGGGCAACAAGACTTTTTTTCCCCAGTCTACCTCACACAAAGGTCTGTTTCATGTCAGCTGACTGCCTGATTTCACTTTCAAGCCAGATTTTTAATTTCCTGCATTTTTATTTGTGACTAGAAAGCTAGTAGGAACATTGGCTGGCACTTAATTGATGCTCTGGGAACTGCTGCTGCACAGATTCATGACTTTTGATTGAATGATTATTATGTTAATTCCCTGTGCACAAGTAAAGTCCAGTGAAAATGTGGGTGCTCAGGAATGTAGGGAGACTTTTAAAAGTGAGTGTTTTTCAATTGGACAGGAGGCAAAAATACTTCTTATAAACTCATCTGACATGTTTAAAACATTTATACTGGGCTGTAAATAATGCATATTTAATTCAATTAGAATTACTCATCCTCATTAAATATAACAAGATAATTGAGGGTTTTTAGTGAGTTGGGTTTTTTGGTATTTTTTTGCATTGAGGCGTCAAACTGATTTGTCTTAACCTCTGTAATGTAATAATAAATATGTGAAATCTCTTTTATACAGCTATAAGTAGTTCTTCTTCTGATGACAGTGATGAAGGAACAGATGAAGAAATAAAAAGTGAAGAAAGTGACATAGATGAGAGGACGGAAATGGTATTTTTGTGTGTTCCTTAAGTTACTAGAATTTAAACATCTGCAATTGTAGTAGAAAATTGTAGTAGATGAAATGTAGACCACAACTGATAATTTAGCTGGAATTAAAGGCATAATTTTCTTATTCCTGGTGCTTATGATTATGAAAATTATACAATGTCATTTTCTTATAGAAGTATATGATACAATGCTAAAAATACCCATTTGTTTCTTTTCCTCTCATTCTACACAGAAGGCTTATGTAGAGAAGATGTAGCAAACTAGATTTTCCACTCTTGTGGGTGCTGTAAAAATTTGCTTGTCTATGCAGGTTGGACAAACCCTAATAGCAGCAGGATGTTTGTCGTGTATTTTACTGTGAGACAGGCATGTCAACCCTGGTCT